TGTTACATCTTGGCATTTAGAAATGTTCAGAATGAGAGACTGGGCCGATGAACACAGCACAAGTTCATCCAGGCCACTCTGAAGAGCAGATGCATCAAGCATTAAAGATAAACATTCCATACTGACATCAGCTGCATACTTGCATCCAATAAAGTTGGACGGTATAGGGAGGTCTTCGATATATATGGAAGACAGTAGGAGAGATCATCGCTCCTTGTAGAACATCACAATAGTAGCAGCGCAGAAGCATTTTTCCTTCAACCTGGGTGAAGTGGGTACGGTTTCTAAACTAGTCTTTGATCATGCTGCAGACGTTTATAGTTACCCCACTCGTAAGCAGCGGGTTGGGTAGAACTGATCTGTTTACTCCCAAAAGCAACTGAATAATCGAGGAACAGTAGGCACACTGCTTTGCATTTTTTCATCCAGTGCTGATGATACCGAATGTACAAGGTACGATATAGCGTCCAGTGTGGAGAGGTTGAGTTTATAGGCAAATTGGTAAACATCATCTGCCTGGGTGCGCTTGAAGATCCGAGAGACCTAATTTCTCCAAAGCTTTCAACGTCAAGGACGTATATGCAATCACACGATAAGTTTTGGATCCCTTCTTTGGCACAGGTGTTATCCTTACAGGTCACCAACTGTCAGGGATTGTGCCAATCACAAGGCAGCGGTTGAATAGAGAGGCTAAGGGTACCACGAGATAATGCTAGTAAGGATGAAACATCAGATGCAGCATCTTTAGTACTCTTCAATTTTTTGAGTTTACTATAAACGTCCAAGAGACCAAGGGCGATTACGCGACCAGTTTTGGGGAAGGAGGGCAGGGAGCACATATTCTGTGGGGAAAAACAAAATTCGTCATTGAGTCTGTCCACATTCACATTATCAAGCCGCTTTAGGGAACTTATGCCACAGCTTCTTTAACAACCTCCAAAGCTCACAATATTCGTGATTACCTAACATTGTTTTAATATACAAATTAATCAGTCGCGCTACTTCTGATTTCCTTGCCAAAGTTAGTTGTTTAACTTTGGCAGATAATTTGAATTTATGTGACGGTTACTCCTTTCGTCTAACTCACTTCAGCTGTGGTGATGGGAATCTGCTGGGGAGTATGTGGCTAGTTCCAATGGGGCAGCATATATTAGTAGAAGTTGATATCATCCGTTAGGTATTCACACTGCAATTATACCTTTTCGTCCGTGAAATCTAAAAAGTCAGTTGAAGCCAGCATCTCGTGGTTTTGTTCCATTTTCTCTTAATTAGTCTCGGTTTCTGATGGTTTTGAAGGGCTTTCTTGTCAAAGACATGAATTTAGTCTTACTGTAAACAGTTGGGCAAATCTTCAGGACACAGTGGTCTGAGTTACCTAGAGGAGCTCGATTTAAAGTAGAAAACCAATGAGTTTGGTTTTCGAAGATAAAATCCAGTTGCGCATAGGGTCTGGTCTTGGAAGATACCGTAATTTTTATACCAAGTGTTCCGATGAACGTCTTAGCAGTTTCTCTAAGAGCACCAGCAACTATACAGACATATCATTCAATTTTAGTCAATAACACTGGTGAGAAATGATAAGCAAAATTTTTTGAGTTCAATCGATGGCATGTCAGGGCCATGTTAATGTTTCGGATGACGACGGAAAGGAATCCACTAAGAAATCTTGGTTTACACTCCATTAAATTACAGCTAATTTTGGATGTTGAGTATGTAGTGAACAAGGTAATCAAATTACAACGTGACTGGTTCACATAGCTGACAACGCCTCCGCGATCCTGCTGCTTTCCAAGACGATCAGACTACAGAACGCGGTATCCATCGAGTTAAATAACCTCAGCGTCCACATCAGGATGCAACCAAGTTGCTTGTAGCATTACAGTACCTGTATTTGCACCTCGCTTACGCTGTGTAGTGGCATTGAGTTCGTCCATTTAATCAAGCAGTGAGAGCACAGTGCTAGATAATTGGCGGGATTTGCGCTTTATTAAGTGCACAGCGTCTAAGTCCGGCTTGCCGACCAGCAGGGTGTTTTCTTCTTTTGCCAAAGCGTTGTTTTAAAATTCTTTTAATGGTGTTTCTGACCATGACCGAATGTGATATAAGGCACGTTTTCACATAGTACCTGAACTATTTCAAAAGGTCGGCAGAGTAGGATAACATGGATGATCTCAGAATTCTGCAAATAATCAAAAATACGGGAACGGCAAGACAAAATTGATAGCTCCGCAGTAAATGGCGCAAAAATAGTACTCCGAGGAGAGAACAACAACGGCCGATTTGTAGGTTCTGCGAATGTAGGTCTGAGAGTTCTTGCTGCTAAACCAGCCTGTTTAGATGGTGCCACTGGAGTTGACGGTGAAAGCTGTGCCGTATCACTCGTGCTAGGTACATAAGATTGTCCGAGGTTTATCGCTTCCGATGTGTTTGTCGAGGCGACCGATGCGTATCTTGTCATTTTTTTCTTTGTGCCGAATAGCCTCCGGCTCTGAGCTCTCGGTGTCATGGCTAAATCTCTAAGTGAGGCTTTCATGTATGGGATAATAACAGTCAGGTCGAATGTAACTCTCCCGGTTAATGGGTTAGAATATGTCAGAGTAAGTGGCCCAGTTACCGTAGGGCGGTTATCAAGACCAATGTTACTCCTTGGTCTAGGGACTGGGCTCAGCAAGGGTTGCTGGGCAACGGGATTGATTTTCTTCTATTCCGATGTAGAGGCAATGATACACTCCATCTGCGCAGTTGTTTCAGTTAATTTTTCCTATATTTTCATAAGCACAACTACAAAGTCGATAACTAGAAAAGCTCTGAATACCCGGAAAAGCCAGAGCTCATTACTCACTTTTTTGAGCCTGTTTAATTTTATCTAGCTTACGCTATCACACCTAGCGTGGAACGCGAAGCTCGCAGTTTGAACAGGGCAGACCAGTCCTGCCTCTGCGACTGCATTTCGATTCCCCTCCCCGTCCGCCCTTAAGTGGGACCATTTTCAAAGCCTTTTGTTACAGTAACCTAACACTGTACCTGTTCGTCCATCTGAGGTTGAGGGTGAACGGTGCTTAACTTCTCTGTCACAATCAGGCAGTTGACCTCGGTTATTCTAGCCACTTCGGCCCAGTCCCTTAAGTGGTCAACTTACGGAGGTTTTACTTTGGGTATAGTCTACTGTCTAGCTATACTATGATTACTAAATTCCACCATTGTAACCGGTAGGTATATACACTTGCTCAATACCTCAGCTGGTTAGTGTGTTTCTGTTCCATCCCCTGCCTATTTGTGTATCCTATCATTTTATATTGACCCGAGTCAGGCATAAGTGAGCTGCTGAAACCCACTGTGGAACTGATTAGCAACAAGCGCGCTTACCTTATTCCGATTCCGTGATTCTGGTAAGTGGATTAGTTATCCGATACCTACGTGAAAAGTCCTCTCCATCTCAGGAGTACAACTGGCTGTGAGCCTCATTTGAAGCTAAGCGGGCCACTTCGGTCACGTAAACTTTCTACGGTGTGCGGCTACGCAGTGCAAATGACATGACGTCTAATCGGCTGCAGACATCTCTCAAGCAAGGGAAAAGAACTGTTTCGATGTATGGCTACATCAATCGCTCATTTACATCAGATGCATGCTATACAGCACACAGTAAGGATATAAAGTCTGTTTCACGCCTGTTGATGCCAAATCTGTTCTTCATCACCATCAACTGTTTCACTCATACTAATTTATCAAACTAAACATGCCGCCATGGTTTAGGGTACCGTGACTTCGCATCGTTCGCTGCGCGGCCACATGTTGATCAACCTTTTGGGTTATCCACTCTCTCGAATAAACACAAACTTGATAGCTACAAGTATCAAAGACTGCCAACTAGGTGGAATTTAGGCTATAGTTGAGCTCCCTCGGAAGAGACAATTTTCATTGTAAATTTTAAACTAAATTGCGAGAAAAGCGAGCTCTCACGGCACGGTATTATTCCTAACTGTAAATGCTTGACGGGGTTCTGGGGTCAGGAAGGGCGCTTTTAGGTTCCGGATCCGGGGCTGGGCGACAAGCACTGATTGTGGTAAAGGAGTAAGTTCCTCAAAACAATAGCCTTAATTGTCACAATGAATGTCAATGACAGTATAAAGGGGTAAATTCAAACCGATCTCTTGTGGGTATGCTGTACCATTGTTATAAATTCAGCAGAGCCGAATCGTCTATCGAACCATTTCATTACGGTTGGCAGCAAAATTATGACGCAGCGTTTGTTGATAATTTATGTTTGGTGTGTAGAGTATAAGGGATTCTGAGAATATCCCTCTTTCGAAACTCTGACAGTCTAATCCGTACGATCGTCCCGGTCTATTAACGCTATTGAGGAAAGCAAACCGCTCCGTGGAGTTTGCGTCTTTTCGTCCTAAGCATCTGGGCAATTCCACCACCTGACGAATGTTCCATTCCTAGGCAGCGGTTCCGACGAAGTTGGTCTGCATCAGTAATTAAGCCGGATTGTGATGTTAATTTGTTTACGGTGGCTAGTTACTGACTGCGCATGAGCTGTTGCTCCTTTTCCAGCTCCTTTTTCAGGTACTGGAGGTTTTACTTGAACCAGTTCACTGGAATTTAGATTAAGTTATAGGCTGTGGTGGACCATGCCAATCATGACCTACACGACAGCTATTTCGTCATTCGCATAGCGCGTCAACCTCATGCTTCTTCATGAACGTGGTAAGATAGCCGTGAATGCACTGGATATGCCGAAGACATACCACAATTAGGTTTGCAAAGAAAGTTCGGTTTTCATGGTTTGAAGTAATTTCTTCAGTCATATTTGGGTCATCCGCCGTCCGGCTTAGTATGACAAATAACCTGCTTCTGCATCCGAGCAGCGATCAATGAGTTATTATCGAAGTAAACGCATGCATTTTGGGCACGTACGTTATATGTGTAGTCTCTCACAATGAAGACGAACTCACTCTTTGCAGTATCTTTTCAGAACCACCATTCTTTTCCGACAGGAAAAACTACGTGGGATTTAAACACAATGGATTTCTCCTGTGATCCACCACGTCCTCTTACTGCGGAGTTGTGGGTGTCTTATGGGAACAGAGCAGATCAGCTAATTCATCTACTGACTTCAAATGGGTTCCTTGATGATCAGCTCTACATAAGTAAGTTGAAAATGACTATGAAGTACCAAGGTGATTGTACTGATCGCTATCTTCCTGAATCCGTTCACTAGACTAAACGTTTCAAATGCAGGACTTCTTTCTTTTAGCACTTGTCAATGTAGATCGGCATCATGATAGCCTGTGTAGATAGAAGTCGGGGTTTTCGGGACACTCTCCGTTTGCCCTGACAGTTAGGAGTAGACGAGTACCACAGCTCATTGCAACCCGGCTTTAGCCTTGGTTCGATTGAACCACCTTACTGAGCATACGTTGCTTTTCGAATATTACGTCTCCTGGTCTCATATTCTTTTCTAATAGCAAGTATGGGGAGCGGTAGATAAACACCCCTAAAGACCCCACAAGATTTTAGACATTATTTAGTGGTAGTCCGCTCTGTTAGCGATCAAAGGAAAAAAATCTAGAAGAACCGTTTGCATTTGGGACACCGAAGGCGTAACATTTCATCTTGGGGGTTGAAGTACCCAATGCCCAGGACAGTTTGACTGTTCCTTTAGGCAAGTGAGACAGAACAGACTGTCACGTTAGCTAGGGCATCATGCATCGCCCATTAATCTCGCTGTTGTTCCATCTTGAAATCCCAAAGAGAATGCTGCAGTTTGTTGAAACTAATACTACCTTGGTGAGCTGCTCTCTACCATGAGGTCGTGAAATGGATCTGTCGCTGCTGCTGGAAATCTCTCCTTTCTCCGATAAAGTGAGCGTTGTCGGTATGCGAATTCATTGGCTCCTTTCGAACATTTATTTCTTCTACCTCATTCATCGGAATGCTAGCCATCTAACACGCTCCGAGGTGGAAAAGTCTTACCCTCCCCATCAGGTTAGGGTATAAGAATACTCGCAGCCACTGACTTCTCTGAGATGCTCACACAAAAAGCAAACATCCTATGGTCCGACCAGTCCACGGCCCAAGCTCATGGCCCAGATAAACCTAGCTAAATTCGGCACATTAGTCGCGGCTTCACACCGCGACATTTAAGCAAGTTCCCAAAACAAACAATGTGCTTGTTCGGCTCCAACTAGAAGGCCAAGAGCTGCTGCTGTATCCCAGCACCGAACATCAGTTGTCCAAGCTAAACTTAGTGATCTTTGGTAACTACTGGGTTCAATTTTCTTCTTCATTTCCTGTCCACAGGTCAACTTGATAATGAACTTAACGCATTCGACACTTGTCCGTTTGTTAAGATGGTGTCAGAATCAACCAGTGTTCGTGATCTGGAAAAGGCGTGGAATCTGGTTGGTGAGCAAGATTTCAGGGTGTCGCGCAGGAGACGAAGAGACCAAGCAACGTACTTACACTTTTTGGTGGAACGGTGAGTGATGAAATCACGCCTGACACCTGAAAGCTGAAAACTTCACACTGCACTGGGTTTATATCCATCTTTAATGCTCGCGTTTCCAGAGTGCCTGGAAAGATTTCGCGGTGTTAACAATACGTGAGTGTGCCGAGAGATGGACGTGCAGATCTATTGCGCATTTATTTGTAACGATAGTGCTGCATCCATCGGAAATCCTCGCGCTCCACCTTCTAGATCTGCCATCACTACATGTTAAACACGCATGGATGCATACGGCGTTTGCTACAGTCCCATTAAGGACAATGAATGTTTGATGGCAAACCAATCATGTTTGTTTGATCATAACTGAATATTCCGTCTTCCTGATCCCAACAGCAGCAGGCGGTATCAATAGAGTTTATCGGTACCGGTTGTGGTTATCATAATGGCGGTCAATGAGGCGCTGTGTCGTCAGAATGGTGTAATAACCAAACGTCAAGTCACACGACACTGGTAAGACGGACGATAATAAAAGATGAACAATGAACAATGATTTATAACGGGTAAAAAAGCAGGTGCTTGACATGTCCCGTAGGGTGTTTAGAGTGACAAAAAAAGATAGAGAAGGGATAATGGAGTCGTCAGTTCGGGCGACTACAGATGTAACTGCACTGTCGTATAAACGGAGTTTGAAATGAGAATGTATGCACACAAAGCAACAGGGGAGTGGCCATTGATCAAATAATAGGTGAGAAAAAATAAAAAAAGATCGCAAGGACGAAGCTTACTCGTGTGCAACTATCTTGGGTCGACAGGATACAGAAATCCAATTTCTATAGTAGTAGCGTCCATCAAATTTCGTGCAAGGCGTTTGGAGTGACTCATTCTCGAGCAGGGTTATGGCACTATCCACTGTCTGTTGCGCATTAGTGCCAGCATCTGGTGGTCATGGGCTATAGCAGGTAGTGCAAATGTGACAGATTATCGTCAAGGCGTTTTTTAAAAAGGGATAGGGTGGGTGCATTAATAACATGTTCCGGGAGGGCGTTCCAAGGCTGTGCCACTTGAAGGAAGAAAACGTTTCGTCGACATTCCAGGCGGCTGTAATGCGTGGCTAACTTAAACTGGTGACCTGTTAGCGAGGTGTTTTGACTGAGTATTAGAAGGGAATGGCATGGGTGGTTGGGGTTTCTCAGGATCTGGTACACCATTATGAGATCGCCCCTTAGACGCCGATAACGTCCACTGTATATTTTGAGGGTCTTCAACCTGAGTGGGTAGGGGAGGCTGGTCAAACCTCTGACGCTCTTCGTTGCCCTATATTGTGCATTATCGAACGCGGTGAGATGGTGCTTGAGTCAGGGTTGTCACGCTTGGATAGCGTATTCCGCGTGCGGCCTCACGTACGCACTAAGCATTTTTGGAAAGATCGAATGGTCAAACTTCCCGATAGCTCTGCGAAGAAGGCCGAGGTAGGTTTGCTTTCTTTGATGCCTTTTCAGTCTGCCTCAAACAACCGAGGGCATCTTGAACTAGCACGCCGAGATCGCACTCGTGAGAAGCCCGCTGTAGACAGACGATAATGAAAGATGGTATGTCAGACAGGTCACACAACATGAAATGTGGCACAGCGCAGAAATGCATGGGAGAGAAGTTCATGGTTAGCGTCGTACTTTTAAGCACCAGATCGCATAAAACAAACAAATATTCAAATTGCTCAGGATGGCCAGCAACCGAACTTCTGGGGTACTTGATCAGTTAAATGTATGAGAAAGGCTGTGAAGCGGTAACCGCAAATATCACCCAAACGTTAAGTGAAGCAGTGCGGCCAACTGTGAAACTGTCTGTCGGGGATTTAGTTCCACGCATGGTAGCCCATTGAAAGGTTTTATCCACAATTCCATGCCCTATCTGGCCATGTACCTTTGTGGCCTGAAATTAGCAAGCCACCACCACTAATTCATCTTCAGGTCTGTTATTAAATGTTACACACACACTTCTTCAGCGCAGTTTGGCTAAACTGACCTACACTTAAACTAGATTTTTCTAATTTGGTTGAAAAGTATTCCACTTTATTTGAGTTGCACAATTATGTTATTTTGCTGTATAGCCCGTATCAAGTCTGCATGTTTATTCGCAACAGCAACCCGATAATTTTTGCAAATTAGGGCTTATCAACCTGTGTTGTGTGCGCAGAAACTATTGAGACAAACAAGTTGTTTACCGTGATCTTGATTTTGACATTTTGATTGGTGTACGAATTTTCCCCATGTATATAACTGTCTATAAATGCTGTGTTGGTTAGTTGATATTTCCAGTGTGGCTACGATTGATGTGAATGTTCACAAGGTGCCTACCTATCTAACAACCTCCATCGCGATTACTGCTTCCAGCAGACTGCGAATCCTTGCTGCGGGGACCGGGTGTACGATAGTCGTGGCCGTGTTAGGCTCAAAGAATTGCTCCATACAACTAGTCTGGAACCGCCTAGAGCCCAACGACCGCCTTGTGTATGTCTGGTACACAGGATTCCCCAACCACACTGACCGGAATGCTGCTGCTGTGCATGTCGAAGGAGAGTGGACCGGCTCTGTTGATGTAAAGTGGCTCCCATCCATAAACGTCCCGGTCTTATTTTTCAGGTTTACACTAGATATGTGGTGTGTTGATGGTGCTGCGGGTCATGCAACCCAAGCCAACCATGGTCCCTGGGTAGGCGTAGGCGTCCTTTGGCTGTGCTATGGAAGCCGCAGTGACAAGCAAATCCGGGAGCGAATGGCACCAAGCATGGGGCAGTCAAGCAACCTAACCCATTTCCATCATTCGGCGCTTAAGAATCAGTTACATTTTTACATGCCAATGTGTCCATGACAATACACCTTGGGTGGATTCATAATTTGGTTCCGCAGCTTTAATCCAATCACACTAGGAGATCGGCGCAGTTGGGCACACAGTGAAAAAAGAATAAAAACTGTGCCATTCAGAGAATCGCTAATGGCTCGAAACTACCCACTAGCTCTATTGCACGCCGCGTACTTGATTGCCATGTGTGTGAAAACCCACGTAGGTGGTTTAAGGTAAGCAACAAACAAAGCACTCATCGTCTATTTTAGTTGGCTGAGGCCTCGGTGATACGGCGGTTGAGGCCAAGTTTCTGCAGACAAAAGGACTTCGGGACCAGCCTTGCCCTACCTTGATGACGCCTGTGTCGTCTTTCCTCTGCCCGGGCCACGTGAGCTCACCGACACGACCGCTTTAAATTTTCACCGATAAGAGTGTATTGTGGTTGCCTTTGCTATGTAATCTGTCCTCTTCACAACTTGTCTGTAAGTAGCTGAGGCGAAGACGCGAAATTATTGAATTCAGTACATTCTGTTAAAATGTGGTTTCTTCTTGCTCAATTGAAATTCGTGAAGGGAAATGCCTGCATGAAATTTCTTCTCAGATTATTTCGCTTACTCCGGATCGGAAGCCTTCGGTGGCTCCAATGAGGTGGAAAAGTTTTTGGTTTGTTCCAGCGAGACTAGCACATTGCATTTCTCTAGCACGTTTACGCCACCAGGCTTCACGGTCATTTCGTGAACCTCTGCGCAATCCTCAATCCAGGGATCTGCACTGTTCACTGCAGCTGAAATCGACTAGGACCGGGCGGCGTCAGTTAATCCGGCTACAAAGAAACAGCGGTGCACCAGCTTTTCACTGACAGACGGACAACTCCACAACGGTCAATGGGGTCAGTAACTATTACACCAGGCAATCCGGTGCCTTAAAAGTACAACGTCATGCCACAACTCTGAAGATGAAACCATTCACCCCCGCTGGTCTACGGTGGCTCATATGCATCAGGCCGTCGCCCGTCTGACACACACTCTCACCTTAACCTATCATGTGTTTCAGAAGTCATGTCCATTTAAAAACGGATGTGACTTCCGTTGCTCGGTGAACAGGGTGCACGCCTTAGAGTGACACGACGGCGCATTAACTTGCCAACTGTCCAATGGTAGATTTTGGTCTCTTAAATTTCTATCACCCGGCCACAGGGGTGTGAAAAACTAGCTAGAGGGCAGAATGCCAGACAAGCGGGCCTGCGTCCTCGGTAATTGTGTACTGACGTTGGATGCACAACTACTATTCGCCGAGGATAATTAACATAGGTTAATTATGCTCTTGGCCCTTCCCTCTCCTGTCTTTATCTTTCTGTCGACTAATAGCGATAGCAAATCGAAGCCACGCACGCAATTAAAAGTCCGACTTACTGGCTTATTAAATTGGTTCAGCCACACGCTCTATTGTCTGGTCCTTAATGTGGGGTTGCCTGTTCTTCATCAACTTTGTGTTCTCCTGACACCCTTCCACCGGTCCACTCCCATGTTCTGTTTTATGCTTCGTATTAGCAACCCGAGCTATCGACTGCATTCTTCTGCCTTGGTGACAAGTCGATTCTGAATGGCCGTCAACTCCAAAACCTGTGACTGCAAGGGTTTACGATAACAACATATCAGAAATCTGTCTGCCAACCCCATGCAAGCGGTAAGGCAAAACACACACTCACACAGGCAGCCGCTAAACCATGGCAAACGCACATCCACAGCCTAGTTGGTATATCGCTAACCAGTTCAGAACCAGGCATAAGGTGAACAGTGCATACAGGCAATATACATATATTTACATGCAGGCGGTTCCACGATCATAAACAACAACGAAGTAATGTTCAAAATGACCACTGCTGTTTTGCTTACAGAGCCGCATTCGCCGGATGCTGTTCTGCAAAATGTCCACCGAGATCCTACGACATTCGTTGACGATGCCGCGTTTCAGTTCTTCCAGACAAGTGGGTCTGGTTTTATAAACTGGACGTTTCAAGTGGCCCAATAGGAAGCAATTCAAAGGGTTCAAAAGTGGTGACCATGCAGGCCACTCACTTACTCCTCCACGATCGATCCAACGATTATCGAAAGTTTCATTAAGATACTCACGTACCCCATGTGCCGAATGTACAGGCACATCATCTTGCTGCCACCCAATTGCGCTCAATA